AACTCCTTCGCAAGCCGCGAGACGGGCGCGCGCACATCACCCCAACAGCAGCACTCGCTAGCGAGCTCTCACTCGCGAGCTGCGAAACGCAAGCCCTACGCAAGCACTCGCTGGCGGACTTCCATTCGCGTGCCGCGAAGCCGCGCGCCAACAGCTCAATTCCCAAGCACTCGCAGGCGAAACGCAGTTGGCGAGCCGCGAGACGCGCACCACAGCTTCTTAAGCCCAACTCGCCAGCGAACTCCCGTTGGCGACCCGCGAAAGCCCATTTCTGCACTACTCCATGCCCAAACTCGCTGCGAACTCTGTTTCGAGACCCGCGAACTGCAGAATTTCATTAAATATGTGTGTTTTGAGTGTGTGTTTGTGGTGTAGCTATAAATAGACATTTTGCTTTGTATTGTGAGACACAACTCTCATTTCTCAACTTTAAGTTGGGAAAATCCTCTCTATTTCTCTTTTTCCTTTTTTTATATTTTGGTTTGGAGCTTTATGAATCAAGTTTTCCGGCGAACTTCCGGCGACATTGTTTTTAGCAAAGTTTCAAGCTTGTGATTTCGTTTCTTCTCCCGAGTGCATGTTGGAGTGGGTAACTTAGCCTTAAGCTCCATTACCTCGTATATCTTTCTTGCTTTGGTAAATTGATATTGTGCTTGAGATTTTGGAAGAAAAGATTGTTGCTTTGGATCATGAATGTTTGACTAAGTGTGATAGGAGTTGAATTCTTGCTCGATTCATGCTAGAGTTTGATTTGACTTCCTAGGGTTTTTAGCGAACATGGCAATGGTTGGATTTTTGCGTGCTTTTGATCATGATGACTCCGGTGAACCAAAATCTCTCTTTGCTCTTGATCTCTCTAATCTTCTTGCGTGCTTTACTTGCTTTCGATTTCAATTTCGTAGATTAGCTTAGCTTAAATCAACCCTCAATTCAAGCGATTAGCATGTTTAGGACCTTTTCGATTGTGTGATTTGGCGACTAGATAGTGAATAAAGCTCCGAAGAGCCTTCCTTTGAGAACGACCCGAGTCGGGTACCTCGGTTACCACATGCCCAAAAACACTACAAACACTTTCTTTGGTTGAACTTCTTCCTCTCGACTCTCTATGCAATACAGAAGAGGTTGATGGTTCACCCGACTCCCTCCGCCGGATCTCTTCACTGAGAACCAAATTTTGGACATCATCAAATCTCAACTTATTGCTTCCCGATGAGCTACTCACAGCTGTGACTGTAGCATTCCAGCTTTCTGGTAGAGAAGACAAAAGTATTAAAGCCCGTACTTCATCATCAAACTCGATCTCAACTGAACTCAACTGGGTTGTAACTGTGTTGAGCTCATTGAGATGATTTGCCACCGGAGCACCTTCACTCATCCGCAGGTTGAACAATCGCCTCATCAAATGAACTTTATTTGAGGCTGATGGTTTCTCGTACATGTTGGAAAGCGCCTTCATGAGGCCTGCTGTCGTTTTTTCTTTTGCAATGTTAAAAGCAACATTACGAGATAATGTCAGCCGAATGGCTCCAAGGTCCTGTCTGTCAAGGAGACTCCATTCTTCCTCCTTCATGTCTTCTGGCTTCTTTCCCGTGAGTGGTTGATACATATTCTTCTGGTACAGATAATCCTCGATCTGCATCTTCCAGAAGCCAAAGTCCGCACCATCGAACTTTTCAATTTTCATTTTTCCTTCGTCTGCAGCCATCACTTCGACTCTGATCTGACTTCTCTGCCGGATCGTTTCTGTAATTTTTGTGAACTACCGTGTTTCAGAACACGTCGGTAGATAAATTTGTAGCGCCGACAAATTTGGCACTATTCCCGTTTTTCACTATTCACGGAATAGTAACCGACACAAAAAAATACAGAATTAACAATCTTGCTCTGATACCAGTTGTTGGGAAAAATACGCTGAAATTTCCATGAAGTCGGATCTATGAAAGTGAAAAAAAAAAAAAAATTGGACACACCAATTTGTTAACGGAGTTCGGCCAATAATGCCTATATCTCCGGACTACTGAAGATATTTTATTAGGAGAAAAGAAAACACTCGTGTTTACAAAACACTCGCAAACTCACTCACAACTCACAACTCAAATGCACACAAAAGCTAAATTTTTATTAGCTCTCTCGCTCTCTTTTTCTTTCTTCTATTTTTTGTTGTGTATTTCTGCCATGAGAATCCCCTCAATTTATAGAGGGGAAAGTGTACAATTTTTCAACATAAGGCGGCTTTAGTTTTCAACATCCGGTTGCTTCTCCAATTATTTAATAATGGTGGCTGCCTATTTTTTTCTTTTTTTCATTTGTGTTGTCAGAACATGTGGGCTTATAGCCCCTTTTTGACTTCACAACTCCAATTTCAATCATCAATTAATAGAAAAGCAAGGATAAAATGGATGAGGAAAAGTTCTGATTATACTATACTAAAATAATAGCATGTAAAAAAATGTATTCGATTTAATCATATATCGGTGCAGCGAAATAATCGAGATTACATACCTATCATTGTTTGTGTGTATTTGAGTTTTTGAAGAACTTGTAAAAAACAATATGTTGAAGGCTTCTGGGCACTTTTAATTCTGTTTCTACTGTCAAGATCTTCTGGGCTCTTTCACTTTTTTTTAAATAGTGTATGATTCAGTAGTAGTAAAGTAATGAGCCCAGAGACCTTTTAAAACCGATGGTACCCTTTGGCAGAAAGGTACCTTTTAATATATGATATCTTTTGATAGAAAGATACGATGTCTACTTATTCATTCTGTCCATCGTAGAATTAATAGGTGATTAACAGTATTTGTACTCTTTATAAATAGGAACACGTGGACCACTTTAAAATTATCTTATTTATACATAATACAAGATAATTGAGAAATAAAATACTAACATTCTCCCACTTTGTCCATATGTTACCATATCAAAAAACATAGAATACAAAGAACACGAATCATGGCGATATGTCCTCTAAAATTGAGTAGTATCTTCCATGTATTACAGTGCACTTTGATCCATGAAAACTGCCTTTGAACTTAATGAGTAAACTTAATGTTTATTCTAGGTCCAAACATAAATGATAATTCTCAAGATAAATGTGCATAAATTAAATGAGAAAATATCAATAAAATTTTCAATGTAACAAGTAACAACAAATGTACGTACAACCAAATGTTACATACTAGAACCGAGTCCCATTCGTACTACATGATCCTTAAAATTTTTAAGTGACATGCACTTAGTCAAAGGATCAACAATCATTAATTCAGTACTAATGTGCTCAATGACCAATTTTTCTTCTTTCACACGTTCTCTCACGGCTAAGTACTTGATGTCGATGTGTTTACTTCGACTTCCACTTTCATTAATCTTAGCAATAAATACCGCAGCTGAATTATCACAGTGTAGTGTCAATGGCTTAGATTTAGAATCAACAATTCTAAGCCTAGATATGAAACTCTTTAACCATACACCATGACTAGTAGCTTCAAAACACGATACGAACTCCGCTTCCATTGTCGAGGTAGCGTTCAAGGTTTGTTTGGCACTTCTCTAGCCAAAATGAAAATATATCTGCAGCCAACAAAGTGAGAATCTGAGTAACCAGTCACCTCCAAATTTTCAGTTCGTCTATACATTAGCATATAATCTTTTGTCCCTTTTAGGTACCTTAGCACCTTCTTTGCAGCTCTCCAATAGTCAATATCTAGATTACTCTGATATCTCCCTAACATCCCAACAACAAATGCAATGTCTGTTCTGATACAGACCTGAGCGTACATAATGCTTCCAACAGCTGAAGCATATAGAATGGACTTCATTTGTTCACGTTCGAGCTCATTTTTCGGAGATTGATTCAAATTGAATCTAATCACAGTTTACAATTGGGGCTACGCTTGGTGAACAATCTTTCATATGAAATATCTCTTAAACTTTATTAATATAGGCCTCCTGAGACAAACCTAAAATGACTCGAGATCTATCTCTATGAATCTTAATGACAATGACATAAGATGCATTACCCATATCTTTCATATCAAAACTTTAAGAGAGAATTTGTTCCACCTCATATAACATACCTTGTCATTAGTTGCAAGTAGTATATCATCAACGTATAGAACTAGAAAACATATCTTACCCTTATTATAAGTTATTAAAAAAACAATATTGACGTAATTAAAATTAATATTTTTAACTTCAAAATAATATATGCTATAATTTTTTCAATTAAGTGTTAGTTATGATATTTGGCACAAATTTTCAACTTTAGCATAACTTATTTAAAACTTGACATTATAATAAAGTATGAGTAAGAGAGAGAGAGAGAGAGAGAGAGAGAGAGAGAGAGAGTTATAAACATAAACTATAAAATGACAACTATGTTATAACGAGTGAAATAAACATGATCATATATTAAATTATTATATGCAATAAAATAAAATAAAAATGAATATTAATATTTAAGCTATTTATATATTAATCAATTTTCAATGTTTGAAACATGGATTATATAATTATTGTCCCGTATATCGCATGGGCGTATTGTGCCACCTCCACCAAGCAGTCATGATGTCCTATTAGTTTTCACTCTACATCCATTATATTTATTGTATTATTTTCATCGTTATGTACCTAAAAAGACAAAATTCATATTTCTGTCAGATACACAACAGCCACATGAGTTCATGGCAACGAAAGACTTGGTCTCCTGAAAAATAAAAGATACAAGGTCAGTTGCAGTCAATTAAAAATTGCACTAGCCGAGCTAAGGGGGGCCATCTAACTTATTTCTATTCGAAAAATACATATATTCAGTTTAGGGTATAGGAAAATGATACGGTCCAGTTACGGAACCATTCCGTCAGGTTTGTAACCGTTAGATCATCATGTAACCGTCATAAATAGTTCATCTGACGGTTACAAATCCTGACGAAATGGTTCCATAACGGGACCTTAACATTTCCTGTTATATATATATGCCTTGTCTACCTCAGAGATGCATGCGCTTAAGGACTATTGTATAAACCAACATGCAACCACTTTGTAGACGACCATTTATTTCCTCGGATAACAGGGCAAGCCTCTGAAACAAGGCACATTCTTAATCAACATATCAAGACAAATATTAATAATGTCTCTTGTACGAATGCCAAAGTAGTTTTTTAATAAGATGAATTAAAGAACCTACCGTGCAAGCTCATCGGGTCCTCCCTGCCATCCGGTTTTAGACTCCAGAAAAGCAATGCATCTCCCATTCTCGGTTTTACGGGAAGACCAGCTTTAGCACATTCCGACATCTTATCCCAACCGGGAGTCGAGCTGAAGTTACCTTTGGCAAGAGGAAACACTGTCTCACCCCCTTCCTCAACATTCGATCTGTCGAGGATGAAAGAAACTAATTAGCATTATTATTTGACGTTTTTAGTGAATGACAAAAAAAAAAAAAAAGATAAATCCAAGACTTACAAGTACATAAGAACAGTAGCTAAGCGTTGGCCCCCATTTTTAAGGTTGAATTCATCCTCAAAGTAGTCGCAATGAGCCTCGTACTTTTGCCCTACTTCATAGTGTAGAATTTGAAGGTTCTCTCCGTGTTCTGTAAGGGTGCGTTTGGTTGAAGAATTGGATTGTTCGGAAACATGTCCTTAATCTTATTAACAAGCTTTTCCTGCTTAGTCTATCACCATGTTCTATTTGTTTGCTTACATTTTGGGAGATTTGGTATCAGACATTTTTACTAAGTGAAAATTTTTGGCATAATATTTTACTTCACTACCCTTGTTAATATTTATAAACCCACAAATATCCTTTTCTTCTACTTCAATTATTTGGTATTGTTCTAAGATACCACTTCTTTTTTTTTTTCCCCACTTTGAATATTTCATAGCTGCAATTTTAAAAAACCAATATTGCAATTTTAGTCCTATTGGTTTGATTCAGTGGCGTTTTTAGCAATTTTAGTCATATTGCTAATAGATTTTTTATTAACAATTTAAGTCCTGTAATTTTAAATTTTATTGAACTTTCAGTCCAAAATGACTAAAATTGCAGCAAAATACTAAATTACAAAATCAAAAGACAAAAAGTTAAAATCTCGGGACTAAAAATGCTACGACGTTAAACCATCAAGACTAAAAAATGTAATTTCACCTTTTAAAAAAAAAAATAAAAAATAAAAACAATGATCAAAGCTACAAAACCTCACAACTAGACAACTCGTCAGTTAATGTCACTATGCTATGTTTGGTAGCCCAATAAGCTAGTTAATAGATTATTTGGTTAGCTTGTAAGCTTTCTGTATTCAAATAAGACTCGTTTGATCAAATACTTTTATCATATAAGCTTACTTTTTAGCTATAAGTTAAAAAATTACTGATAAGCTAGCTGATAGCGTATCAGCTAGTCAGCTAGTCTTACCAAACATAACTCGTTTGTCTATAGCATACACAAAAACAAACACTCCACAAATTCGAAGAAATTAAAAAATAAAATAAATATACATAAATAAAGAAAATGCTACAGTCCCGTTACGGAACCATCCCGTCGAGTATTTTAACCGTTGGATCATCTATCTTGTCTAACTACACGTGGATCCAACGGTTAAAATACCCCAGGGGATGGTACCGTAACGGGACCGTAGCATTTCCCATAAATAAATTCGATATCTACTTTTGAAAATTGGCTTACCAACAGGCATTTGTGTGTAGTCGGCTATTCTTTTCTCAATATCTCTGATGACTCTATCTCGTCCTAATTCCAAAAACATTCCAGTACTCGTTCGAATACTGAAAATGAAATATGCACAGATGAGTTCAAAGGTGTGTATTATGTAATAAAAGAAGAATAAACATAATTAAGATAGAACATATATAGGAATTACAAACCTGCTGTTCATATTCTCTCCGGTCTCGTCATCAACGACTGTCGATAATGTCATGTGAGGTTTGCCGAGATTTATCATATGTACACATTCTTCCTTAGACTGACCATGCAATGTATAATTATTAAACATTAGGTTATTAAAAAAAATAATAATAATTGTGTAAAACAAACCAAAAAATTAACACTTCTAACATGTTTAATTATTTAATTATTATTTTATTTAAATTTTCTAGCTTCCCTAATATAATAGTAAGAAATAAAATATTAAATTAAAAAATAATATAAATAAATAAACCGACCAAGAAATTATGATAGAGGAAAGCCCTGGGCTCCCAGGAAAGTACTTCTGTCCACTGATTCTCTCTTTTCCCCAATCCTTCCCCTTCACTTTCCAATCATCCAACTTTCTTTAATTTGAACCCAAAA